AAATCTACCAATGTGGCCTAAAATTAGTTGACAATAGGGAAATGAATGTATTACTAACGTTTCCAGTAGTTCAAAAACCATTGTTTTTGCTACATTTTTGTTAATATGTTTCCGATGTTAGAAGAATTATGTTGAAAGACGTATTGTTTGAGTTTTGGTACACTCAAAAGATAATGTGTTTTGCTTTATTTGGACATAAGGTTCTACAACGAGACATAATGACAAGGCAAAGCTACAAAATCATCATTGCAAAGCTACCATCGCAACAATGAACCATGTTCGCAGTCGCAAACAGTATATAAATTCTTAATAACAGTAATTTATTGTTATGAATTTTTTTCCTGAGGCAATGTTTTCGATTAAAAACTAAAATGAAGAATTTATCAAACTGGCAACACGACAAAGCAAATTAAGTAGATAATTTATCGTAACCAAGTTCGATTTTTCATTGGTAATAACCAGATAGAAACAAAACACATACATCAACAGCAAACTAGTCGGGATCTACATTCTACCATTAGAAATCAAAATCTAAGCCCTCTCACCACGAATCCTACGAGCGAGCTGCATATCCTTAGGCATGATGGTGACTCTTTTAGCATGAATCGCACAAAGATTTGTGTCTTCAAAGAGACCAACAAGGTAAGCTTCGGAAGCCTCCTGGAGAGCAGCCACGGCGGAGCTTTGGAATCGAAGATCTGTCTTGAAATCTTGAGCGATTTCCCTCACAAGCCTCTGGAACGGAAGCTTCCTGATCAAAAGCTCAGTGCTCTTTTGGTACTTCCTGATTTCTCTCAATGCGACTGTTCCAGGCCTGAATCTGTGTGGCTTCTTCACTCCGCCGGTGGCCGGAGCTGACTTTCTTGCCGCCTTGGTGGCCAACTGCTTCCTTGGAGCCTTTCCTCCGGTGGATTTCCTTGCAGTCTGCTTGGTACGAGCCATTGGAAGGTAAAAAAGAGCTTCGAGAGGAAAAAGAAAAGGATTTTTAAGGATTGTTGTTGAATAAACTGGCGATTTTGGATTAAGGGTATGTGAAGGTTTATATAATGCACATATCTGGGAGAGAAATAGCGGCAAATTTTCAAAAGTGTGAACGAAATTTTGGTTTCAATTTGACTGCGGAAAAATAATACAGGTTGGCAATCCGTGTGAGTTCCTTAGGGACCAATGACATCTAGGCCGTCGGATTATGCGGATGTGCTGACATTTGATTTTAGGTATTTTGTCACACTAATTTCCACTTTAAAAAATCCTACCATCGTCTATTTTTTTTTATGCAATGGTATAACTTATTTGTTTATTAAAATATTTGTTTATAATTTTTGGACAAATATATAGTTATAATGTTGGAATTTTCATAAAATTTAATTTTATGTGTTATTTTTTAAGAAAATTAGCAATGTAGTTCACTACATACACAGTATAATATTTGGTTGTAATCTTGAAGTAATTTTAAATATGAAAAAAATCAAATAATTTGTGAGATGAAGTGCCCAACAACTTCAACATTAAATATTTAATGGAGAATATATGAGAACATTTCTATGGGACATCAATCAAAATTAATATGTGATTTCATCAAGTGTAAATCTTGTAGTATGTTAAATGTTACGGTCCTTGTTGTCGAAGCTTACTACTGGATAGCAATTTCATCGTTATAACATTAGAACTACTAGATTTTAATCATTTTATAATGTATCTACAACCAAATATAAATTATGTAATGTAATAGATTAATGATTACTTTCTTCACCATACCATGTGATTCTAATTTCTTTTAAACTTTATAAATAACTTTATATAACGTTAAGCTAAAACGTTAAATTATTTATATTGATTTAAAATGTGTAAAAAATAAGATAAGCCTGTAAAAATGATCATCTGATATGTAATTTTTATGGTTTTTGGTCTAAACCATATTTTTTTTGTATTGATGGTCTTTGTAAACTAATTTCGTTTGTGTTTTGATCCCTCAAAAAACAAAAAGAGTAAATTGCCATACACATGATTTTTTTCTATTTGTTTAAAGTTTTATTAAAAATAATTATGGGGCCAACGCCTCTCTCTCTCTCTCTCTATCTCTCTCTCTCTCTATCATGGAAGTCTCACGCTAACAGATCGATTTGAGTTTTTTTCTTTAAACACATCAACGCACACACGCACACACATGTTTACAAATTCACGTCGTTTTTGGTTCCTTTCCACAAGCCAGAAGAACACATACCCTTCTTCCCTTTGTTTACAAACCAAAAGTAGGTTACATAATTGGTTTACATTGAAAGCCCTTGATCCTTTGCTATGATCTCCGACACAAAACCTTCGGAGGTGATAATGTTCACATGTATTGTTAGTTTTTATTAATTGAAAAGATGAGTTACAAATCAAATGATCAATATACAAGTACATTAGTTGTAGTTACTCTAGGTGTCTGTTGTGTGCAAAATACATGTGTATTTATAGTATAGTCCAAGCAACAATAAGTCCAATATAGTCAGGATCCTCTTGAATAAAATGAACACGTTGTTTTACATGGTATTCCTGGGTCTTTTGCATGATCGAAGTATTTATTCGGTGATAATGAGTCTTATGTTGACTAATTTTGTACATGTGAGAAAAAAACTATAAATAAATTTGTTACAAATGTTAGGAAATAATACTAACAATGGTCATGATCCTGAGAATTGTTCGTGATCCAAAAAGATCTTGAAGATTCAGTATACTGAAACATCTTGAATATCTGGGATCCTGAATAGGGTTGAGGATCATGGGCTTAACAATAGTTGTATCTGAAATGATTGAGGTGGCTGTTTTAAATTTTGTCTTGGGAAGGAGCAAACAAGTACTATCGATGATTGAACCATCAAAGAGGTTGACCTATTGTAAAACGACCAAACCATTATAAAATGACCAAATCATCACAAAAAGATCGAACCATAGGAAAAATGTCTAACCTTCATGGAATGGTCGAACCGTCGCTAAAGGGCGATCAATAAGATGTATATCAATAGTAGACTTCTTGGGATTGACTCAAACGAAGTAGGCATGACAAGTGTGCAACCAAGAGGCTGACTTTCTAGGATTAACTCCTTAAAAGTAAATGATTATGAAAGTGAAGAGATAAGATGATATGTTTGGTGACTTGCATATGTCAACAGGTGGTACAAATAGTTGAAGAACATTTGTATTCATATCACTAGAGTGAACTTAGAACTAGTACACCCTACGGATTAGGCATTATACTAGAAAGAATACGAAGAGTTAAAAGTAGAGTTCTTAATGACTAGGAAATCCGTTAAAATATGCTATATCGAGCATATGCGCGAGAAGAACCCTAGAATAATATGTGCTCAGTAAAACACATTGTTATTTTTAAGGCGCCTACTAAACACATGAAAATACTAGTGGTGTCTAGGAAAAAGTTGTACTATATGTGGTTGTTTTGGAAAAACTTATGAGTGTTAAATTGCTTCATGGTCATCATGTGTAGTGACTTGGGAACTTCGAGGTTGTTTTCTGAGACAAGTATGCGTGACAATTTTTGAGATGAGTATACGTAGGCATGAAAGCTAGCATAGACTTGTACTATCGGAAACACAGGATTCATACTTGGTTAGAAGGAGTTGAAAAGTTACTATGGCACTGGTAGTTGAGTTGTTTTGTTTGTTTTCATTATTAAATGGGTTATGATGATGACAAGGAAAGTAGTTTTGGTTCAAACCCAAGTTGCCATGAAGAATCGAGTCCAAGTAATATACACGTGCATGAGCAAGTTAATTCATTATGAGAATCTTATTCAATTCATTAACCGATTTCAGTTGAGGGATTTAGGAAATAGGTGATCGAGAAAAAGATTGCAGCTTCTATTGGGGATAAGCAACCACTAGCTAGAAAAGTCACCCGTGATGGTATAAAGGATTCAAAGGCATGGTTTTTGAGGATCTATACTAGGTGACCATGATCATTTTTACAGGGAATGAATACACAAACTTTCGTTCATATAATGCATTGAATGAATTGATTTCGATGCATGGGAATGTGATTGTTTAGCAGAAGGTCAAAAGCGTTAGAAGCAATGCATAATGTTTAGCTCTATGAATGTTATGGGGGTCCATCTAATTAGACCCTTTATTAGTCTTAAAGGACCCATCTAATCATTACCTTACTTTTTTTTTGGGTCCATCTAATTAGACCCTTTATTAGTCTTAAAGGATCCTTCTAATCATTACCTTACTTTTTTTTTTTCTTAAATAAACAAATCATTATACTAATCATTACCTTTTAATAATCATCATTACATAATAATTTTATGTCTTTTATGTATAATTATTAAGTCAAAGTATTTTAATAATCTTTTTTAAACTTGCAAAATAAAATATGTTAAATATAATTTTTTTTTATATATTTTTTTAAACTTGCAAAATAAAATAGTTAAATATAATTTGTTATATTTTTTTTAAACTTGCAAAATAAAATAGGTAAAATATAATTTTTTTACATATTTTTTAGGTTATTAAACTTGCAAAATAAAATAGGCTAAATATAATTTTTTTTATATATTTTTTAGGTTATTTGTATGTAATTTATTAAAATTGTTTTATTTAAAGATATTATAACAAAAGACTACAAATATGACATACTAATAATAAAACAAAATTTTGAAAGCAATACATATCAAAAGAGTTCAATTACATTCATACTTAATCCGTGATATGTATCCAAGGTATTTCAGAACTACGAGGCCTATGTTGATTGTATAATTCGAAACGCGACCAATACATAGTTTGCCAGAAAGATGCAGACGAGCTTTTATGAGCATTCCAATATGTTGTGGTTGGAGGCATTGGGTAATTTCCTTTTAAAGACACCGAAATATAATGTCTGCCTACAAGTACCACTGTAATGTTTCGGTGAGATTGAAACTCTTCATGGTTTAGACAATGAACAATCACACCAAACTTGTTGGCAATCAAGTAACCAGTCAAAGGCATAATCATCCAATGTCACAAATACGCAGGTGACTCGAACCAACACAAAGACTCGTATACCTCATTGAACCCATCAGTAAAAACTTGTTGGTATGCATAAAATTGACTTTCTAACTCTTCAAGCAATTGTTGCCTAATGTATAGCCATTGGTCTTCACTGTGCCCTAGACTAACAGCTACCGCTCGAAACCCACAGTTTCCATCACCGAGTACATCTTGTATCTTGTCGATGTAATCATGAAATACATCAGGAATACTCTTCATTAGGAATGGATCATGCATTCGTGGTTCTTCATTTAAGTCAATGGCGTACGAATAATTATGCCTTTCAGGTTCTTTATTTAAATCCAACCCAATGAACTCTGATGTGGTAGAGTCATTGCATCTAGGAGGAGCTTGATTTGGAGGGTTGACATTCTTTTTATGTTGTTTCTTCATACTCGGCCGTCCGCGGGTCTTATTTTGAACTGTAGGTTCTCCAACATCAATTGTGCGCGGATCGTATATCTCTTTTAGTTTTTTCAAATAAAATTTTTTTCCTGCTTCTGTCTGCTTGTTGAAATTTTCTTTATACTTTTCAACTTCATCGTCGCAACAAATATTGCCTTTTTTTTCAGGCTTCGTATCAAAAATACTAAGCTTTCTCCAAAAGATATCTATTAAATCCAAGGGTATTTCTTCACCTGTATTAAAATACAAAATAAATATTTTTGTAATATTTAAAAATTTATATATGTTGTAATTGAACATACTAACCTGAGCTTAAGTAAACAGAAAGCATGCAAGCACATGGTAACCCACAACTGGTACGGACTTTGCAACCACAATTTGAGGAGTCTAACTTTGACACATTTAACCTTTGGAGCTCTCCTACTATTATATCAAGAGCTTCGTTTGAAACAGAACCTCTTAGTAACCCGAAGCAGTACAAATTATGATGCTTATATCGGAAAATTAAGCTTTTCTCAAAGCTTTCATTGATTGAAGTGAGTTGTGATTGCACAATTTCATTAATTCGTTGCACAAATCTATCGAGATTAGAACTTGCAGAGTCCAAAAATCTCTTTAAATTGGCATGTGCACTCTCGACTCTATTGGTTGTGTTGTTTCCAAAATTAAGATGTTGATCAATCCAAACAGATACAAACATTTCTTTGTAGTTGTTCAACCAAGTATCTTCTATGTATTTCAAAACACCTGAATGTTGTGATTTAGAAGTATAGTTAACAAATACGTAAATAAATAATCATATGAAGGTTATGATTTAGAAATATCGCTAAAAAACAAGCTTACGTGGATATTTTATCAACATTGATTGAAGTCGCATGTAGTTTTTCGTGTAATCCATCAATGTTGGAGAATCAATTAGTAAGTTCCATAATGATCTAAAAGAGCGTCGATCATCTTCCAACGTGATACTTTTATTGCAATGCTTCAAAATGTTTTGTTCAATATGCCATCTACAAAGTAATCGGGCAGCATCCGGAAAAATTGTTTCACATGCCTTGATGAGTGCCAACTCTCTGTCTGTGATTATTACACGTGGGTGCATACATGTATCAAGCGTCGAATTTAGACAATTTAACACCCAAGTATAGTTGGCCTCCTTTTCCCTATGTATAAAGGCAAAGCCTACAGAGAATGTCTTTTGAGTTGATGTAACACCAACAATTTGCACCAACGGCTTGTTATATTTGTTGGTTTTATACGTGGCATCTATTATCAACACATGTGGAAATGCACGCCATATCTTCCAAGACGTTGGATGAACGAAGAATAAATTTTCTAACTCATTTGAATCGCCTGTAGTAAACTCATAAACATAATCATTGGTGTGTAAAAGGGACATAAGAACCTGCATTGGAGTTCTTCCTGCTTGCTCGTGCATCCGAATCTTTTGTTGTGCATTGTATATTGTTTTAATTGTCGACACATTGTTTTCGTTTTGAACCTTCAATGCTGACAGGATGTCACGTGGCGCCATGTTCTTTCTTGTTAAATTAGCCACCAAACGAGTCTCATCGACTGATAACCGTCTTGCAAATGGATGACCTTCCATATGTCGTGCCGGTGGATGATTATGTTCATCACATATTACTCTTAGCGTCCATTTATCATGTTCTTTTGAATACTTTCCTTCCAACTGAAATTGACAATTAGTCCTTTTGCTTCCAGATGCTCTACTTGTATACTCTTTAGGTTTATACTCTCTGCCACGATCACATATAAGTATAACTGCATGCACGTAGCCGTTCCCATATGCCTTTGATCTTCTAGTAACAATGACATATCCTAAAGAACGTGCGGTGTTTTGTGTCCACTCCAATAATTCCTCACGAGACTTGAACTTCTGCAATCAAATTTCAAGTGATTTAGTATATATGTTGTATTTGAAAGCATAATAATTGATATAATTATATAACCTGATTGGTAGAAAATGCCGAAGTTTTTGTAGAAAAATCTTTATCTCTAGCCGACAAGTTGATTCAAAAAAACTTAAACATCTCTAAATAAAAAAAAAAACAAAAAAAAACAAGATAAATAATTAGAATATTGCACAAATATAAAAATGAGAAATACATAAAAATAAATAATTTATAAAATTTTAATACTAAAAAAAACTTATTTAAATAACTTTTATACGAAAAGACCTATTTTTAAAAAATATATATATATATAACTTCCGTTTTTTTTAAAGCCCACCATTTTAAGCCAAATTCAATATTTTTAATACCCTAAACCATCCATATAAATTAGAAAATAAACCCTAAAATCATAAACTATTATTAGACGTCATCAAAAATTCTCTCATCCCCACAAATCTGTGAGCACGAGCAACCTCCATCTTCGTCGGACCACCTCCATCTTCGTCCGACCAGGAGCCGCGACCACCTCCACCACCGGCAGCAACATCTAATTTCCGATCACGGTTACAACCAAAGTGAAAACGACGACCACCACCCCCTCTCGTCTAGCCCATTTCTTTCTTGATCTCTCCACCAACGAATCTGTCTCATCTCTTTCTCCTTACATTTCCGACAACACCCAAACATCCCACTCATCTCCTTCACCCGTATTTGTCCCTCCCTCATCTCTTTCTCCTTCAAAAACTTAGACATTTGGACAACCACCTATCGATTTCTCTCCCTCTCTCCCTCTTTCTCTCTCTCTCTCTCTCTCTCTCTCTCTCTCTCTCTCTCTCTTATTTTCTGTTATGAACGGATGTTGTAGAAACACCACCGGTGGTCGGACCGGAGGTGGTTACGGCGGTGTTCAGTGGAGGTGTTAGGTTGCGTTGGATAATAAGAGTGGGCAGAAAATATATTTACAAGCATTTCCATTTTACCTTAAGTTTAAAAACAGAAGCTATTGTTTGTTTACATTAAAAATGTATGTTTTGATTTTATATTAGATATGTGTTATAGTTGGATTAGTTGACAATTAATTGGCTATTAAGAGGATCTATATTTCAATGTTTGAAATTTGTAGATAGTTGTAAAGATCAAAATTGTATTTGTAAATATCGATATTGAATTTGTTATAAAATTAAATAAGATGGTTAGGTTATTTATTCGTTCAATGATTTCTTTTACAAAAAAAGAAAAAGCTGAAAATATTAAATTTGCAGAGTCAAATAGTTTAATTTCCTAGGTATTGAAAAAAACATCATTTTGACTAAAAAATATTATAATTACAAGATCCTATAAGGAAATATGGGGTCCAAAATATTTTGTAGGACGTTTATGCAATAGTCAAGCTTAAACGTGATGTTTGAAGATTTGAAAATCACGGAATTTACACGGATTTGATCAAAATTGAGTGTCATACTTGCTTCTTGGGATCTGTCATATCTTTGCCACGAAGGAAAATTCATTCATATCTACAAAGGAAGAGGCTTTTGCCTAATCTAACAGTAGAAAACTCCATAAGAAACAAACACATGATTCCAAACTGATTATAGATTTTCTTTTTTGGAAGAAGGCAAACACATAAACAAACAAAATCAAGTTTGCAAATAAATCACGATTGCCACAAATATGTTGCTAAATACATTGTTCCAAATGCAATGTTATACGGAAGAAAAGAAAAAGACAAAATAGAAACATACCAATGCAATTGAAATGCGACATTTATGAGCACCAAAATGTAATTTTCATTCAATATAATCAGATTAAACAAAATGTAAAGAAACAAACCAAACTAATCAAGATCTACATGTTAGTTTTGGAAATAAAAGTCTAAGCCCTCTCTCCGCGAATCCTACGAGCGAGCTGCATATCCTTAGGCATGATGGTGACTCTTTTAGCATGAATCGCACACAGATTTGTGTCTTCAAAGAGACCAACAAGGTAAGCTTCGGAAGCCTCTTGGAGAGCAGCCACGGCGGAGCTTTGGAATCGAAGATCTGTCTTGAAATCTTGAGCGATTTCCCTCACAAGCCTCTGGAACGGAAGCTTCCTGATCAAAAGCTCAGTGCTCTTCTGATACTTCCTGATCTCTCTCAATGCGACTGTTCCAGGCCTGAATCTGTGTGGCTTCTTCACTCCGCCGGTGGCCGGAGCTGACTTCCTTGCCGCCTTGGTAGCCAACTGCTTCCTTGGAGCCTTTCCTCCGGTGGATTTCCTTGCTGTCTGCTTGGTACGAGCCATTTGAACGTAAAAAAGGATTGGTGAAAGGTGAAAATTAACGAAGCTCTGAAACGATTGTTGTGTAAGATGTGGATCTAGGATAAAGGATTTTTGGGGATTTTATACTACACGGATTTGGGGGAATAAGCGGCAAAATTTCAAATTGTGAAATGATTTGGGGGATTTGGGTTTCAATTTGGCCGCTAGTAAATTATACATGATGGCAATCCGTGTGTGGTCCGTATTAACCAATGATATTTCAGGAACTTGATGACGAATCTAGGCCGTTGGATTGTAGTCTTAATCTTAAAAGAATAATAAGGCATCATGTTTTGCTAACCCGACCAAAGTTATTTTCTTTTTCTTCGTTTTTGCATAATTGTAAATAATAACTTTAAAAACTAGCATATAATATTATTTGGTAAATTACACCAATCGTCCCTCGTGCATGTGCCGGAAAACACGTTTAATCCTTATTTTCAAAAATTAACTCGGACAGTCCCTTGTTTGGTTAAAAGTTGCACACCTCATCCCTCCATACATAAAAGACGATTTTGCCCTTAATAATTTCTTTTTTAATTTTTATTTAGTAATTTTAGATTAAAAAATAATAATAATAAATAAATATGCACTGACCCATCGTTCCCCTTCCCTTTTCCCCGGTTTCCTTCCCTTTGTCTCACTCACTCTCGACAACCACCTAAACAGCTCTACCAGCTCCTCCTCTTTCTTCCAGCGACACCAACCACATCTACTCTCTCTTACTTTCTTTCCGATCGCCGGAGAATGACATCAAAATCAGGTGACTTAGTCATTCAACATGTTCGATTTTACGGTGAAGTAATTAGGCTACCATCGCAACCGACCAAGCTTTGGTTGTGATGCAACGATCGGATCATGAGGGTGTGGAGATCGGGACAGGAGAATATTGGTTTGAGATAATCCAGGGTTTTGTTACTGCTGGCGGACTAGAAGCCACCGATGAGGCCATCGGTCTACACCTTAATCCCTCGTTGGAGTTGTCACTGCCGCCAGAAACCTGCAGCTCTTTCGGCACCACCATATATCTGCGTCAGCACCAACTCCTCTGGCACAACCACATGTCACCGCAAACACATTCCCCTTCCCTTTCCCCAATTTTCTTCTACTTTCGTCTCCCTCTTCTCACCCA